GAAGGAGAAGGAGGACGCTGTGTAGAGCAGGGGAGGGAGAAGTCTTATTCATCTTGCAAATTCACCCATAGTTCACCTCTGCTGCCCACCTAGTAGAGCTATGAACCAGGAAATCTACTTATCTCAGCTTAGCTAAAGCAGTGCACTTAACCGTTTACAAGGATGTACACTCCCTGTAATAAAAGGAAAAAGACAATACAGCACTAGCACAGGATCTGTGTGAGTGGGGAAAGTTAGTACCATGGCTTGCTTGCCTAGCAGCCAAGTGAAGGGAGGCCTGGCTTCCCCAAAAGATAAAGAGATATCAGGGTGCTGGCGCTGTGGTGCAGTGGGTTAAAGCCTTGGCCTGCAGCGCCAGCATCCCATATGGGCACTGGTTCGAGTCCTGGCTGCTCCTCTTCCAATCCAGCTCTCTGCTATGGCCTGGGAAAGCAGTGGAGGATGGCCCAAGTGTTTGGGTCCCTTCACCCATGTGGGAGACCCAGAGGAAGCTCCTGGCTCCTGGCTTTGAATCAGTTCAGCTCTGACCATTGTGGCCATCTGGGGAGTGAACCAGCCGATGGAAGACCTCTCTCTCTCTCCCTCCCTCTCTCTCTCTCTCTCTCTCTCTCTCTCTCTCTGGTTCTACCTCTTTCTGTAACTCTGTCTTTCAAATAAATAAAATAAATCTAAGGGGAAAAAAAAGAGCTATCAGGTCATGACCCCAGGATGCACACACTCTGAGCTCTGAGAGCAGGTCAGTCCTCTGCCCTGAATAGGGCAGCCTGGTGCAGAAAAGTGAGAAAATATCTTCTTTGTTGAAAAATGGGTGTCTCCAATGCATCCTATATTCTTGGTTTTTCTTTTAAAGTGTCCAAAAAATGCTTAAAAGCCATAGAAAAGGGACAGTGACCCAAACACCACAGTGGACTCATTTTTCAAGCAAGTTGGATGAGAAGACATTGTTTAAGAAAGACCCGAGGTTCCTTCACATTCCTGAGGTGGAACCTAGATGGCTTTTCTAAACCGGAGCCTACTCTGGTTGCTGTTGTTGGCTGCCTTTCCTTGTCCAGCAAGAAAAGACTTTTGAAAACCCCTCAGCCCCTGGTGTGTTTTCCCTCTGCAATTTCTAATTCAGGCAGCCAATGTTAGCCATGCTGGACAGGCTCCTGAAGAAGGGTCAGGTGTCAGCGTTCTGTGATGACCAGTTTTCACTGAGGACCAAAGTGGCCTCCCAGAAATTACTGTGGCCCCAGCCAGCATCTAGTTTTCCACCGACGGTGACCATAGTATGAGCTGGTCATGAAGTCATATGTTTGTTTGCCTGTTTGTTTGGAAAGGGGATGAAGTTGAAAGAAAGATCTGTTTAGAAACGGGGAGACTGACTGAAATGTGACTTGCATTTTATTATAAATGTGTTTAGTAATTTTCTCCTGAATCCCAAATCAAATAAATGCCAGCTAAAAGAAGCCAGTGGAAAACAGGTAGAAACGGTTACGCCCGGCTCATCATGAGAACATTCCTACTCCTTCCATTCTTGAAGTTTCTCTTCTCCATTTTTCTTTTCCTGATCTATAGGAACAGCTATGAGTTCACTTCTCTTGTGGCAGCTGCCAGTTGTTAAGGAGACAGGGATTCTTCTAAGGCACTAGCTGGTCATTTGTAGACTGTAACCCTATGATAGCCTTCACATTGCCCTCTGTCTCATGGAGTTGTTATCTTTGACCTCGTGCATCGACAGAGACTCTCTCTTTGACTAACTCTAGCCTCTGAGCTAACTAACTCTAGCCTCTAACTCTAGGCTCTTCTGAGCTTTCTTCTTGACTGGGCATCAACGTTGACCTACAAGGACTTGAACAAACACTTGACCTAGTAGTCTGAGGCTTCAAGGCTTCATCCTGAGAATATCTCTAGGTCCCATAGAGTGTCCGCCTAAGAGAACTCAGGTTGCCAAGGGAACTGCCTGGTGGTTCTAGCCGACCCCTGAAGATAGGGCTCCTGTGTCCCAGTCTCTGTGGGAGCGAGGGAGCCTACCTTCCACCAGCAGCAGTTAGCCTACTCATTTGGCTTTCACATGGACCGACCCTCAGCTTCTACTTTGTACTTTTTTCAGTTCCCTGACATTACTGAGCCCACCCTCTCCCCCTTTAAAACTCCTGGCCACTTCTCTAGAAATTGAAGTTGACTTCAGGTCATACCTGACTCTTGTCCCTATTGCAAAAGTATATTACCAACTAAAATCCATCCTTACCCCTTTAACATGGTGTTCATTCATCTCATGTGTCTCTCTGACACTATTCACTGTCTGCCCATAAACTTGAAACTCATGAGAGTACTGAATGTATCTTGTACTTTGTTGGTCACAGCTTTAGGTACTCAGAATGCTCAAGGAATGGAACACTAATCAATTTGGGGCACAGAATGAGCACAAATGATGATTTTATCTGTTGCAGGTGACATCAAGAGACAGAGATTTGTTCAAATTAACTCAAACTAGGAATATTCTCTTCTCTCTTGGGGCTGGCATTGTGGTATAGTGGGTAAAGCCACCACCTGTGATGTCAGCATCCCCTGTGGACACCAGTTTGAGTCCTGGCTGCTCCACTTCTGATATGACTCTTTGGTAATGGCTTGGGAAAACCAGTAGAATATGGCCCAAGCACTTGGGCCCCTGTCACCCAGATGGGAGACCCAGATGAACTCCTGGATCTTGGCTTCAGCCTGGCCCAATCTAGGCTGTTGCAGCCATTTGGAGAGTGAACCAGCAGACGGAAGATCTCTCTCTCTCTTTCTGTAACTCTTTCAAATAAATAGATATAGCTTAAAAAAAGATTCTAAGCCCATAACCCAGGTAGATCATGCCTTCTATGAGAGTGCCCCAGCCTGCATTCTCTTATCTGTACACCCCTACACACACACACACACACACACACACACACTCATGCATGCATGCACACAGACACGCACAGACTCTTCGACTCCCCACTCTGCTTTGTTTCCATATTCTTTCCCACCTTCCCATCTCTGGAAATACTGAATTTCATAAAAACTGAACTTCCGTTCAGATTCACCAAAGGGATCACTCCTAGGAGCCACATATTTAGAGACTGGATTATTCAGGCAAAAAAACAATTATCTTTTAGTATTTTAATTAAGCAGATGTCTAGCATTCCAGAGCTCCAAGACTTCAGGCCTTGTACACATGCTTTACCTTTTAAACTGATACATTTTTATGAGCATTCGAGGAGCCAAGAGAGGAAAAACCTCTTGGGAAGGGCAAGTCTATGACGTCAGGCTCTGAGAGCGCCCTGGCTGTCGGGGGCAGTGTGAACAAAGGAGCAATTGAAGAGTTCTCACGAGTAGGCGGTCATTTATATCTTTACGAGGGACCTCCTGGACTAGGCCAGCGCTGGGCTTCGGGGCTCGGAGACTTCCTTCCTCTGGCAGAGCCTTCCATCACGATGGGCCGTGGTTCAAGATCTCACCAGCACACATGCCCAGGCAGCTTCTCAGTGTATTCTCAGTGTCATTAAAAAATAAATTTATCATAAATAGGAATAGATGAGTTTTCTCCTTCTCTACCTTACCACACCAAAAAAAAAAAAAAATCCACTATTATTTCAAATGATCTATTACAGGCTAAACGGAGTTCCCCCAATTATGTTGACATCTTAACCCCACGCACCTCGGGAAAAGATTGCATTTGAGACATGGCCTTCCAAGAGGCCACTAACGTAAAATGCCGTCTTCTGAGTGGGCTCTAATCTCAATGGGACGGGTGTCCCTAGGAGACAGGAAATGAAGACACAGGTGCGCACCGTGATCTTGCATGTCTGGCCCTCAGAACAAGGAGACAGCAAAGGCTGCTGTTTAAGCCACCCGGTCTGTCATGCTTCATTACGGCAGCCCCAGCAAACCAGTCAAGTATCCCTACTCATTTTCTCACTACCTCTGAGTAAAGGACTTAAAAAAAAAAAAACCACTCCACAAATGGATACATGCAAAGCCACCAGGCTAAACAGAGACCCTAACAATCAGGTCAAATCCCATGCAACTCTTTTCCCTCCGTTCTATATTGGTAAAAAATGTGATTTAAAACAATACACTTGCTTCCTATAGGACAGCCGTTTTCAGTGCCAGCTTCATATACCCATCAAGGGTAGAAGGTTGAGAGAAAGGTTAATTACTTCTGTCCAGCTCTACCTCCAGAGTGTCCGAGGGATTGGCCTGCATTGGGCAAGCGTGTCTCACCCCAAGTGATTCTAAGACTCAGCTTGCAGAAATCACCGTACACTGCTCCACCAGTATGAAATGTACTGCCTATTGCAAATCTCTCTGCACCCTCCCTCAGTGCCCTGATTGTCAGGGAGTTGCTATTGCTCCACGCCAAGAGGACAGAACTATTTAGCAATTTCATCATCATTGATCAATCCAAATTACAACATGGCAGCTAGAGTTTTAGAGGACGTTTAAAACTTTTCGAGTCTCAGGAATTATCTATGTCAAGAAGAAACTCCGTTTGGACAGGGCTGCTGGGGAGCCCGTATCACCCTAATTAGCAGCTTAGCAACACAAGCCCTGTAGAGAACTGGCCTAATTTGGTGGAGCTGGGTTGAGAGCCAGTTCGCTGGAACTTGGCAGCAAGTGAAAGCACTCGGGGAGCCAATTAGCTGGAGTTGCCTTCAACCCCTAGCTACTTAGTGGCAGCTTTTTAATGTTTGTTGGTTTTTCATTAAAGATTGATCTGGCTCTGTGGACTTCTAATGTCCTTTTATTTGGTAAGTCAATCCTACCCTGGCAGTGTCACATAACACAAAATGTTAAAAAAAAAAAAGTCTTGGCTGAGAGTGACTCTCCATACCCAGTCCTCTAGTTGAGAGAGGAGGAAGGGGAGAGGGGAGGGGAAGAGAGGGGAGGGGAGGGGAGAGGGGAGGGGAGGGAAGCGGGGAGGGGAGGGAGGAGAATATATTGGATGAGATGCAGGGCCCTCCCTGCAGCGGAGGGGCTGGGGGAAGGAGAGCGCCATACTGAAGAATAACAAATAGGGCTGCTCCCCTTTCTTCTACTCTAGCCTGAGGCTTCTCAGTTTGGGTGTTTAAGAAAAGTAAAATAAAGGAGAGGGAAGAGGAAGGGCATGTTTGGACAGGACATTCACACTTCTCTTTGCCCTTCAGGGCTGGATTGGGCGAAATGGCTTAACCTGCCTCTTGAGTATTCCGATTGGCTAAGCGATGCAACCGCCTAGCCAATTAGATGGAGCCTCTTGGGGTGATTCCACGACTAGCTGGAAACAGATCCTCACCGTCATCCGGACTCCCCCCGAAAGTCAATCGTGCACCTAACGAGGCATCCTATCATTTCTGGCAGGAGCTCTTAAGAACAGTGCTCGCTAAGGATATCTTTGGTAACATCCCAAGCAGGGTTCTTCTTCCGGGTGTTAGGGCCAAGGTTGCTTTAGCTGTGGTGAATTGGACCGCTTGGGGCTCATCATCTCAGCGGCTGCATCATCTGCGGACTTGGTCAAGGCTGCGAAAAAGCTTAGGACCCACAGTCGAATTTCCTAAGGGCCGGGTAGGGTTTTGTTTAACATGGCTCATGTTCTTATTTCTTCTTGTAAAGTCCCACTCTTAACTGACCAGCAATAGTTAACTCTAACCTTACTATATCTAATATGTATGTGTGTGTAAGATTATCTCTGTGCATCAAATCACAATTCTCATACAGTTGGAAAATCAACAATAGCGTCAGCCTTGTTACTTCTATGTGTGTGCATACATAAATGTAGCAACGTGAAGAGTTAACAGTGACTAGCAAATACAGGGTTAACTGGGTCTGGGGGTGTGGGGAGAGAGTGATATTGTGGTTCCATTTCCTGGTTAACTTTAGATTCGCCAGCAAATGCCTGTTAAGGCTGATCATAGTGTTTGGATCTATGTATCTCTCTATCTGCCTTCTCAGGTGTAACTCAGAGAAGGAAACTGGATCTTTGTTTGCTTAGCTCAAGACCTTGTAGCCCTTTGGGTTAATTCTACTCACCAGTTCTTAGAAAAGGAGTAGTGAATGTCAAACATTGAATGATAGAGCCTGGAAGTGACTTTTTGTCTTAAAATCCTGATGAATGTTTATTTTCTAGTGATTTTTCCCTTTCTTCCAAAATGAGAATGTCACAAAGTAAACAAAAATAAACCCCAACCACAGCCACAGGCGACTGAGCCCTGTGACTGGCTAAGTGGCAGTCACTGCAGGATTTGCTGCATTTGCTTCCTTCCATAGTTTTTGTCATTCAGCTGCTGGATGGCTCTCTCTAGTTGCGAAATTCTCATTTCTGGGCCGGCGCCGCGGCTCACTAGGCTAATCCTCTGCCTGCGGCCCTGGCACCCTGGGTTCTAGTTCCGGTCAGGGCGCCGGATTCCGTCCCGGTTGCCCCTCTTCCAGGCCAGCTCTCTGCTGTGGCCCGGGAGTGCAGTGGAGGATGGCCCAAGTGCTTGGGCCCTGCACCCGCATGGGAGACCAGGAGGAAGCACCTGGCTCCTGGCTTTGAATCGGTGCAGCGCTGGCTGTAGCGGCCATTTGGGGGGTGAACCAACGGAAGGAAGACCTTTCTCTCTGATTCTCTCTCTCTCACTGTCTAACTCTGCCTATCAAAAAAAAAAAAAAAAAGAAGGAGTTCTCATTCAAAGGCAGTGCATCGTAAGGTACCGTAAATGACACAAAATTCTTTGTCCATTTGAAATAAATGATGTGGTGAAGCTATGTATGCTATTTTTCGAAAAGATTTACTTATTGACTTGAAAGGCAGAGTTAGAGAGGGAGGAGAGACAGAGAGATCTTCCATCTGCTGGTTCACTCCCCTGGGGCTGGGCCAGGCTGAAGCCAGGAGCCAGGAGCTTTTTCTGGGTCTCCCATATGGGTGCAGGAGCCCAAGCACTTGGGTCATCTGCTGCTACTTTCCCAGGCACATTAGCAGGGAGCTGGGTTAGAAGTGGAGCAGCTGGGACTTGAACCAGTGCCCTTATGGGATGCTGGCATCACAGGCAGCAACTTTACCCGCTATGCCACAATGCCAGCCCTTTAATGTATGCAATTAAAAGAATAACTTTAGACAAAACTTAACAGTCTTTTTAAGCAAAGAAAAATTCATGAATTTAAAGTTAAAGTCACAATATATTGGAAGATTTGCTCCAATGGATAAGCTGTGAGATTATATAGGCTGAACACAGAAGAAAAGCAGGGAAATTATCAGTTTTTTGGACTTTATCTGGATGTTATGTGAGGAGGCATTTACCTTATTTGGTTATGGTGTAATGAGAAGTTCCTAGTTATGTAACCAATTTGTTGGTTGGCTGGGATTGAGACTTTTTTATGATTATTTTGCTTTTTAAAATCAGTTACAAGAAATGTTTCCGAGCAAAATTTGGGTTAGTTACATCAGAGCTCTGGTTCAGAGACAACCTCAGACTGATGGACTCATTATCTGGTTTAACAATTTCTCCTTTTTGGTCAGCCTCTTAATTTTGAGAGGTGACCAAAGCTTTGGCCATTAGTGCCACTCTCTCTTGGAGTGGACTTCTCTGGTCTCAGTAGGGAAGTCACATGTCATGATGATGGGGTCAGGAACACTGAGAGGTTCTTTCTGTTGCTCTTTATGTTTTTGCCATTCTAACTAGAGTGAGGTCACTTCTCACACACACAGTGCATACATGTGTACAAGCATTTAAGACTCTTAAGAAGACAATGCCTGAGGGAGACACTACGGCGACCATCAGGAGGATCATACCAAGAGATGTCTTATTCTCCTCAACCAAGGACCCCTCAGCCATGGTGCCCATGCATCAAACCAGCAAAACTCAAGGAAACCAAAGAACAAGCCAGGAGAGGAACCTAAGTATTTTAACTAGGTAGCCTATATGTTGATTTCTCCAAACTAAGTTTCTATACTACCAAACCTATTTGCACAAATGTAGCAGAAATTATTGGCTACCACACACACACCCTCGTTTGAGCCAACAGACAGTGCAAAGAAATCCTGTTGTCTAAAACAACTTTAGCAAGGGAATTTAAAGAATCTTGTTGGGTAGCTACAGCCTTTGCAGCAGTGTCAGCTATAGGAACTAATTGTTCAAGATTGATTTCTAATAATCATTTTATTTACATTTATGCCAAGCCAGAGAAGGCACATTCTACTAAACCATGACTGTGTAGAAGCATTTATATCTACGGAAAAATTCTTCTTTCTTCAATAATGCCAATTAAGTGGTATCGACCAATTGATTATGGATTGACAGAGTGCTGTTAGAACCCCTAATCCACACGGGCCTCTTGTTGTCCACTGAGACATGAAGTCATGCATGTGTATGATTGCTAATGCAATCCTCCCCAGATAAGAACACCTCCTGGGGGGCACACCACCAAGGTCCCTGTGGAACTGTGTGTGTTAAAGTTTGCCAGGAGGGACACACTAATAGCCAACATAAATTCAGAGCACCCGAGACTACTGACAATTAGGGGATGAGCGTTATGAAATTATCTACAAACTCTCAAATTATCTTTCTCTTTGGTTTTCTTATTCAGTTTTTGACATAATGTAACTGAAAAATCTTACCTCTAGGTCTTGCCCACTGTTACATTTAAACAAACAATTGAATACACGGATTTAAAAGTTTAACCTATTGAAAGGGTCAAATGTGCAATCTGAACAAATAGTCATGTTTGGAATACCAGTGACATCTGTTGTAGAGTGATCTAGAGGATCTCTAAGATCAGGTTGGGGTTTTGGTTTAACGTGACAGAGTAGGCATTCAGTTACACTCCCTGAAGAAGCTACTGACAGTGTAATCCTGATCATAGCATTATCTTGCCATGCATCCACAGAAAGAAGACACACACACACACACACACACACACAAGGGCAAGTGGGACAAACGTTTGATGGTGACAGAGAAATATGTTGAGAAAGATATCCACGACTAGGATGGCATCTGCTTCTTGGAAGAGCCTTGTGGGTTTCTTAGCAATACCTGTTTCAGTAGTTTTCTTTTCTTTCTTTTCTTTCTTTCTTTTCTTTCTTTCTTACAGGCAGAGTGGACATTGAGAGAGAGAGAGACAGAGAGAAAGGTCTTCCTTTGCCATTGGTTCACCCTGCAATGGCCTCCGCGGCTGGCGCGCTGCGGCTGGCGCACCGCACTGATCCGAAGGCAGGAGCCAGGTGCTTCTCCTGGTCTCCCATGGGGTGCAGGGCCCAAGTACTTGGGCCATCCTCCACTGCACACCCGGGCCACAGCAGAGAGCTGGCCTGGAAGAGGGGCAACCGGGACAGGACCGGCGTCCCAACCGGGACTAGAACCCGGTGTGCCGGCGCCGCAAGGCAGAGGATTAGCCTGTTGAGCCACGGCGCCGGCCAGTAGTTTTCTTTTTACTTTGTCTTCAGCATCACTTTCATCCTACGAGATGTCATTTTGCATCCTAAGAATTTGTGTCGGATTACCTATGATGTACGGTCTTTAAGAAGTATATGACTTTTAAAAAGCGAAGTCTTTGATCAAGAGTCTTAGGAATGTTCCTCTGAGTCAAATGTGTCTTTAGGGTCCAGGAAGTGGATCATCTTTGGTTTCCACTCAGCCGTCATCTGTTCCCCAGTGTTAGTCACTTGGAGACCCTTTTCCTTACCTCCTGGTATTTTCATTGTGGTCAAAATGAGTGAGGCTACCAGCTTGCAAATTTCTGGACATGTGAGTTTTTACTGTGGTTTCAATCCAGTACCCCAGAAAGAAATCGCAGATCCTCTGTCTGCCACTGCTATCTTCATGTGAATAGATAGATCGTTCATATGTCCATTATGAGAACTCGGAGCACTTCCCATAGTTAGCTATCTTCTGCAAGATTCTGCACAAATTTTAAGAATTGAATCATCCCAACAGGATCACATGAAGCTGGTCTTAGCTTCAGGAAATGTGGGGCTGTGGGAGGCAAGGAGGTAGGTGGGGCAGATACCTGAGTGCAAAGGATCCTTTTGCACACCCTGGGGAAGGTTCTAGAAGCAAGCAGGGGTAGAGTCCAAGAGGGACACAGGCATCAAAGGCAGAAGAGGGTGTCATGACAACAAGACATTCCTATAGAGACTGGTGTGTGACAGAAGTTGTCAACAGTGTGGTACCCACAGAAAGACGCTGCGGCATTCTGAAGACTGGGCGAAGGGCGCGTGTGAGCCCAGTGTGATTCACTGGTACAGAGAGCAACTGAGCCGAACACCAGGTTTGCTCCCTGCTGAATCTAGCCAATTTTGCAAAGGGATGGGGAGGCAGGGATATATAGATATGCTTCATAGCAATGCACAATAGTCACCATCCCCACCATCACTGTAGAGCGTAACCCAGCATTTAGTTTTGGCCTGGCACATACTCACTACTGCTATTGTAAGTAAGGGGGAGACATGACTCCTCTCTCCGCAAGGCTCACGTTCAGGAGCGGTCACACTGCAATGGATTTCCCACCAACAGAATCATGATAAAGTTGTGAACCAAAGTCAGATTGTCCAGATACTTTGTGGTTTAACTGCTGAAGACCAACAGCTCAATTGACTAATTAACTTCAGAAAAAAAAAAAAACTGCTGTAACAAAGAGACTCAAAATGCAAGGGCTAAGGTGAGCCACAAGTTGAGTCCCGTCTCACTCTATGGTTGGGGCAGTGCTCCACGTCCCCAGTGATGCGGGAATCCAGGCTGCATGCCTGTCCTTTATTCTTCATCCTCTAAGCCATTTTCCTTGGTTGCGAAGGTGCCATGGCCAGACTGTAGCCAGCAGGAAAGGAGAGGAATGTGGAAGGCACACTTGGGAGGTGGGGCAGACCTCCCAGAGGGAGCACACTTGTCTTCTATTGGCAAGAGTGTGGCCCATGGACACCTTCCACTGCAAGGGGTCATGGAGCTGAAATGTTTGCCTGGGCTGCCTATCAGCTACAACATGAGAGAATTGATGAAGAGCCATCCTGTGGATAACAATAAGCTTTTGAAGTTCAATGATTTCCAGTGTTGTAGTTGTTTGTTAACTGGTTTAGTTTTCTGGGAGAATTTTCTAGTGTTCCTTAAGATAGTTGCTGTTGCAAGTCTAGGGTTGGAGATTTCAGGTTTGAAGACCAGGATGAGAAAAGAGCAGCCTGTAGACAGGAAAGGAATTCTTTTTTTTTTTTTTTAAAGATTTATTTTATTTATTTGAACAATGGAGTTACAGAGAGAGGTAGAGACAGAGAGAGAGCAGCCTGGTCTTGAACTGGTGCCCATATGAGATGCCAGCGCTTCAGGCCAGGGCATTAATCCCCTGTGCCACAACGCCGGCCCCAGGAAAGGAATTCTTAAAGATGAGGGGGAGACAAGAAGGAAATCATGGAGGCAGGCAGACAGGATAAAATCGATTAGATTTGTGAGCTGGAAGACCACGCCTTGACCACGTCCCCGTGTGATCTCATCCCCCTACCTGACCCCACCTGTATGCCCACCTGCCAGTCAGGCTACGCGACCCTCCCCTTTGGAAGTGGATAGAAGGCCTGGAACATGGTGGGCCCGGCCCTACTTTTGCCATTGTTGACCTTTGTTGCCCTTGTTGCTCTGTGCCGTGGGGGAGCATGGCCTTCGGGCCACCAATGCACTATACCTTCACTTCAGTACCTGTGCTGAGCTGCTCATAACCAAACGCTCGCTGCACGTGGCTCCTGGCCTGCTCTCTGCTTAGGGTGGCCCCAAGTTCATTTCCAGACTTCCCTTTCTCCTTAGATAGAGCCCTCGCTCTCCTATGCATTTCTCTCACTGAATAAAAGCTTAAGAACTCACCATGTTGTCTGGTCTACTTGAGCCAGTATTCAGAATTCTCTGAATTCATGGCAAGGACCCACGCAGCTTATTGATTTCAGAAGTATTAATAAACAGATCGGTTTCAGAAGGGTAAGGGGGTGCATGAACTCCCCACAGAACGAGAGCCTGCAGGAATATGAGCTTTTAGTTTCCGGTCTGCCTTCATCATATTATGACCTCTTTTGCCCCAAAGATCCCCTCTCCCTGGAAAAAAAATTGACACCCCCCCAAAAAGCACTTTATCCAAAATATGTAAATTCCAAGGTGGCAAAGGCTTTCTGGTGCCTTTATTTTCTTCTGGGCTCTACCTCCATGGGATATGAGATGTCCTAAGTCTTGCATCCCAAAAGACTCTATGCTCTTGGAACTCTGGGTTACTTGAATCTTAGAACTAACTGCTGTTGTGCACAGGGTACTCAACCAGGCGGGTGTTCCAATGGAAACATACAAATTTGTGAAATTTATTTACACTCACTTATCTTTTAATGCAAGTCAACGACATCATTCCCACCTCTCATGACACATTCTCTAGGACAGAGTTCCAAACTCATCACTGGCCATTTAGCAAGTGTCTTCTCTGATCCTGTGATTTGCTGCTGTTACATTTGAAGTTGACTGTGCACCTGCTGGGAAAGACATAACTAGGACTCACATTCAGCCCTCCTGGCCTGCTCACAAGGGAAGATTTTTTGCCATAAAAGGTGAATTGTGAAGTAATAGCCATGTGGAGCCAGAACAGTCAATGCAATTACCCTTTGGTACTTTTTGGGCTAATGATATTTAAATCAATTTGACTGAAAAAGAAAAAATAAATGTCAAACCAAATACCAAAGAATGAATAATCTACCACAAGCTCGCTGGACTCACAAGCAGGTCCCTGTGCTTTGAGATTTCTTTGAGAACCATGTCAATACACTGGTCTCATGGTAATTGAAAACCTCTAAAAACCAACACTTATTTTGTCAAAGGCATGAATGTAAATCCAAGTTGGCCTATGAGCAAATTAACACAAAGTCCTGATTATGCTCACACTGGAGAGTTAGCAATTTTTCTTAATATTTTAATAAAACAGTTTCTCCTGAAAAACTCAAAGTACTAAGGAATCGTAAGAATTGGAAAGAACTTGAGAAATTCTCTTAATTCCTTCATCTTACAACTTTTGAGACTGTGTCCCACAAAAGTTAAGGGGCTTGTCCATGGTTACACTCAGTCTATGTATGCTTCTTGACCAATTCAGTGATTTTTTTTAATTGCCTGTCTTGATGCTCTTGTCTTAGGTCTTCCCAGTTCTCTATCTTCCATTCCATCATTAAAAAGCTCCATTCTGAACAAACTGCTCTGAGCTTTGGAGAAGGAAGAAGTTTTGAATTTTCTACTTTATAATGTAAGTAAATGCCGACTAGAGTCACCTTGTCTTTGTGACATAAATCCATGCGTAGAGACACACGGGCCAAGTGACCAGGTTGTTCAATGAGGCCAGGTTGAACCTCTATGGGAGCTAGATAAGTTCTCACGAGATCTTCAGTGAAGAGATGATGCAACCCTGGCGGTCTCAGAATTCAGGAACATTCCTAGCCTAGAGGGTAAGGAAGCAAACCGTGGACACACAGTATCCACCGAAAGCCAGGCCCATTTCAGAAGCCAGAAAATAGAGATGGGAGGAATTGCATTGTAAAGATAGGAAAATAAGTGAGGACAGGAGCAAACTGGTGGAGGGAAATGACCTTAAAAATGAAAGGATGGAAGGTGTAGAGGCAGACACCTGATCCCGAACAGCTGGGATAGATGGGGTGCACCAGGTGGTCAGTCCTTAGACAGCATAGGTTAGAGGCCAGAGGAGAAATTTCAGTCCTAAAGTACAGTTCCAAGTCTGCCTATGACCTGCCTCATTTATTAATTCACTTATCCATTCATACATCCAATACTTATGAACACTCACTGTTTATCAGGCACTGTATGAGTCACGAAGGGTTAAGTCAATGAATAAGGCAGGTGAAGTCCCTGTTCCCACAGGCCTCACAGCCTTTCAAGGAGACAGATACCCAAACAAATCACTATTCAATTATTTCTTTATCTTTGTAGCCAAAATTATGAAGAGATAGCACAGCATACAAAGAGAACTCTTGAAAAGGGCACCTAACTTAGGTGGCAGACAAAGGCAGAATTAAGATTGGTTTCTAAAATAGAAACAAATATGAAATATTTCAAAAAGTTCATAGAAAACGGAATTCAAAGATTAACTTATTTGGTGCAAAAATACTTGAAATCATGCATATGAGGGGTCTTCAAAAAGTTCATGGAAACACATATTATGAAAAACCTACGTGTGCATTTAAAATTGTTTTGCAACAAAATAAGTATCTTTTAATGGAAGATTTTCACAAACTTTTGAAAGTGCCCTGATACGAAATGGAAGTCAATTAATTTGCATTTTACATTTATCGATAACATAAAAGTTACTCATTAACAGAGAAAAGCATGCCCCTGAACTGGCCATGTGTACTAGAAACCTGGTGACAAAGGCGAGAGGATGGGATTCCACTGGGGAAGCCAGCAAACACAGGAGAACTCGGGTCCCCGGGCCGAGGGGTGACAAACAAAAATGAGGTGTCCTCTTACCATCACCGACTCTGGGGCTGAGAGCCTGTGAGAAAATGGGTCGCTGAACACCAGAAAGGCTGCAGTGCAGCCTGAAGTCCAATTCTATCTGGCTTTCCTGCTCCTGCTCGGATTCCTGACCCGTACTTTGTTTCTCCATTATTGAGGACTACCACGCACCCTGTTTTTTAATTCTCAGCCCCAGGAACCTGGTATTTGTGCATTGTCTCTAGACTTCTGCATATTTCTATATGCTGGGATCTTTGCTGGCAAATATCTGGCCTGGACAAAGTCTTGGCCCTTCCTTACGAGGTCTTGCTCATCACAAATACAGACACTGGTTTTGGACTTAACCAAAGCTCTGCAGAATTCCCAAGGAGACCCACACCTCTCAGGCCAGGTGCTTGGGCACCAGCCTTGCACCTGACCGGGGTTTCTGAGAACGCTGCCATGATGTGTGACTTGGCCCTTTGTCACCAAGCCATGTTCCAGGAATGAGGTTCTGAAGAAGCCCCAGCTAGCCATGAATTCTGCAGCATCCGAGTTCCCCGCCCAGAGTGCAGCAGAGAGCCTGTGGGGCCACCTCTGTGGTGCCAAAGCCTCCCCAGGGGTGAAGGGAGGGCACTGGACAAACTGAGTGATTTCACTAGACAGCAAATACTCCTACTATAAAAGGCATCTATATGACATATATGCATGGAAAAATACAATTAAAAGATAAATTTTGGTGCAAAATTTTTGAAATACATGCATGTGAGGAGTCCTTAAAAGTTTGTGGAAAATGCACGTGATGAAAAAAACCTATGCCTGGATTTTGAATTTTTGCACTAAAATAAACAGCCCTGGTCACTGATGGCGGAGGTGGTGGTAACAGTTAAGCCAGGGTTAGTAGTCACGTGTACATTAAGGCTTCAGTGGGGATTCCTTTGTTTTTAAATTTTAATTTGCTTTTGTTTATTTGAAAAAGAAAGAGACAGAGACACAGAGATCTTCCATCTGTTGGTTCACTCCCCAAATGCCCACAATGGCCTGGTTGGCCAAAGCCAGGAGCCTGGAGCTCAACCCAGGCTTTCCATATGGGTGTCAAGGACCCATGTGGTAGGGCCAAGCACCACCTCTCAGAATGTACGTAGAAGTTTGGACAGGAAACAGAGCTGAGACTTGAACCCAGGCAGTCTGATTTGGGTTGCAAGCACCCCAAGTGGTGTTTTCAACACTGCACCAAGTGTCTGCCCCCCTTGGTGGTGCTGCTTATAAAGACCACTTCTCATTTCTCTCAAATGATGTTTCCAGGACCTTTCCCCCATAACTATCAAAAGAAGTGTATGGCCGGCGCCGCGGCTCAATAGGCTAATCGTCTGCCTGCGGTGCCGGCACACCGGGTTCTAGTCCCGGTTGGGGCGCCGGATTCTGTCCCGGTTGCCCCTCTTCCAGGCCAGCTCTCTGCTGTGGCCAGGGAGTGCAGTGGAGGATGGCCCAAGTGCTTGGGCCCTGTACCCCATGGTAGACCAGGAGAAGCAACTGCTTCCTGGCTTCGGATCTGTGTAGCATGCTGGCCGCGGCGGCCATTGAAGGGTGAACCAACGGCAAAGGAAGACTTTTCTCTCTGTCTCTCTCTCTCACTGTCCACTCTGCCTGCTAAAAAAAAAAAAAAAAAAAAGAGTGTGTACTCTTAGCTCCTGCCTGCAAGAGGGAGTAACTGGTTATTCTGGGAGGCCCTTTGACCCACCACTGGCAGTCAGGGGTTAGTATGGCTTTGGAAGAAACTGCGAGTAAGCAAAGTTTTCCCAGATTACAGGGATAACGGTGATGTCACTATTTACCAAGGGCTTACTGTGTGCCAAGCACCGTGCTAAGTACACGAAGCACAGGATCTCATGAAATCCTGATCCTTGCCCTGTGAAATAGACCTGCTAGATCTCGTTGTCTGCTGGAAGAAGCGAGAATTCAGAGAACTTGAGTTTCCTGCAGGGTCACTCAGCTGATGGGTGGTGGGCTGCTCCCCACAGGGGCCGCTCAGCTCATCTGCCCTGCAAAGACCAGCCAACCCTTGGTCCAGAGTTCCTTGCTGAAATCCTTCCCAGGCCAGCTCCGCTTGGGCTCCCAACTCCTAACATGGCTGCTTGGTGCAGAAGAAACCTGTGAGCTAGAACCAGACAGGTTTGGGTTTAAAACCCAACTCACCACTTAGAACCATGCCATCTTGGGCAAGTTACAGTCTCTTTAGCTTTCAAGCTCTGGACTCACATGTTCCTCCCTTGCTCCCTGGGAGCCAGGGTTTGAAATGGGCAATAAACAAACAACAAAGGTAATTAAGCAGAGCCTTGATAAATTCTTCATGGGGGCTGCTTCTTGGAGCCCCCAGCGTGTGTCAGCTATGGCTGTGCTTGATCCGGGCAAGGTTTCTGCTTTTATTGAAGCAACCGTCTGCTGGAGGGTGTTCCAGTCAGTACGATCAGCGGTGGTAAGTGCTATTCAAGGACCTACTCAGGGATAGGAAAGAACAAGGAAAGATTCCTCCGAGGAGGTGGCCTTGCACTGAGATCCGAGTGACAAGAAGGAGTCTCTCCGAGAAGACCAAAGCAAAGGCCGAGAAACCTTGGACAGAGCTAAGGAGCAGAGCAAGGCAGTGAAGGGGCAGTGTCCAAGGTGAAGCCAAGGAGATAGACAGGGAGTGACAGCATCTGAGGTTGGGGCCGACTCTGTGGCACAGTGGGTTAACGCCCTGGCCTGAAGCTCCAGCATCCCATATGGGCACTGGTTCAAGTCCCGGCTGCTCCACTTCTGATCCAGCTCTCTGCTATGGCCTGGGAAAGCAGTAGAAGATGCCCAAGTCCTTGGGCCCCTGCACCCGTGTGGGAGACCTGGAGGAGGATCCTGGCTCCTGGCTTCAGATCAGTGCAGCTCCGGCTGTTGTGGCCAACTGGGGAGTGAACCATCGGATGGAAGACCTCTCTCTCTCTCTGTCTCTCCTCCCTCTGTATAACTCTGACGTTCAAGTGGGAAATTGGATCAGGGCCACATGGGGTGCGTTGACTCCTCCTTTCAGGCTCTCTCCGAAGCTTCACCACATGGCCCCATGCTCATTCAGCATCATGATGGTCAGTCTATGGTACGTAAATTTGACTTCCCAAGATGATCCATCAGGGGAGATGGTTAATGGAGGACTGAACACAGAGCTGTCCATGCAAAGCTATAACAAACTGATCCTCTAGAGTTTCCATACGTATGTTTTACCCCAGGGCTGACCTAGTACCAGATCAGATTCTAGACCCCAGGTTCTGCTTTGCATTGGAAACTTTAGTCCCTGCATTTCCATGGAGGCCCTTCAGAGAGTCCAGGTGTAGCGTGCACCCTCAGTAGACCCTGAAGTCACCACGGGAGCCAGCAGGAGCTTGAATCCAGGCATCAGGCAGGGAAAAGTGTTTCCGGGTGGCCAGCTGGGCCATTTGCATCGTTTTCCCTCAGAAACTAGAAGGTAAACTGAAGGTCCCTGATCTCGAAGATCCTCGGAGCCTAGTGTAGACAAAGCCGGAGCCGGAACTGTGACTAAATCGCAACCTGGGAGCCGTGTGTGGCAGGGAACTGGCTGAGGACCTGGAGCCAAGACGGAGCAGCTCCGCAGTTCCTGGGAAGTCTGGATTTGCTTGCTCTTTGACTAGGCCAGCAAGGGCCAGGCTGCCACTCCACACCCTGGGCAGGGGGCCTGGAGAAAGGAGCCACATGCCACGCTGGCATGTTTGACACATCTGGATGTGGACTGACCGTATTTTAGGCATGAAAAAAGTCTCTATGTACACTTTTAGATAAGAATAGCCATGTGATATTATTCGGGCCAAAGTCTCGCCTCTGTTCTTATATAATCAAATCAAATGTAATTTCATTCTGAAACTAGCAAAGAGGCAGCTAAGTGTAACACTGTTTGGCCAGCACTCAACTCTGGCATGAGCGTCAAAAAAAAAAAAAAAGAATTCTAGTCTTTTCTTTCACACAGAAAGGTCAAGTTCCCTACCTGAATTGCATCTCTCTCTTTCTCTCTCTCTCTCTCTCTTTCTCTCTCTCTCTCTCTCTCTCAAGATTTATTTGGAAGACAGAATGACAGAGAGAGAGACAGGGAGGGAGGGGTCTTCCATTGACCGGTTCATTCCCCAGATGGACGCAACGGCTGTGACTGTGCCAGGCTCAAGTTTCTTCCAGATCTCCCACGTGCATGCAAAAGTCCAAGCATTTGGGCTGTCCTTGGCTGCTTTCTCAGATGCATTAGCAGAGAGCTGGATCAGAAGTGGGGCAACTGGGACTCGAACTGGTGCCCATAGGGGATGCCGGCATTGTAGGCAGTGGCTTTACCTGCTGCACCACAAAGCTGGCCTCATCCCTTTCAAGATCATGGCTTAGCAGTTCTTTGAGATCAACTTTGTCCCCCAAACCTCTAAAACCTTCATTCACAGATTTACTAATTTTTAATGTTTCTTTGTTTATTTTTATTTACTTGAAAGGCAGAGTGACAGAGAAAGAGAGAAAAAGACAAAGACAGAGATTTTTCTGTCCACTGGTTTATTCCCCAAATGCCCACAACAGCCAGGGCGAGGCCAGGCCGAAGCCAGGGGCTGGAACTCGGTCCAGATCTCCCACGTGGATGGCAGGGACCCAAGCACTTGCGCCATCAGCTGCTGTCTCCCTGGATGCAATAGCCCAAAGCTGTATTGGAAGCAGTGTCGCTGGGACTTGAACTAACCCTTCCATATTGGATGTGGGCATCCCAAGTGGCAGCTGAACTCACTGAGCCAAGTGCCCACCCCATATATATTCTTTTTTTTTTTTTAGATTTATTTATTTATTTGAGAGGTAGAGTTACAGACAGGAGAGGGAGAGACAGAGAGAAAGGTCCACTGGTTTACTCCCCAAATGGCCGCAACGGCCGGAGCTGTGCAGATCTGAAGTCAGGAGCCAGGAGCTTCTTCTTGGTCTCCCATGTGGGTGCAGGGCCCCAAGGACTTGGGCCATCCTCCACTGCCTTCCAAGGCCATAGCAGAGAGCTGGATGGGAGGAGGAGCAGCCGGGACTAGAACTGGCGCCCATATGGGATGCTGGTGCCGCAGGTGGAGGATTAACCTACTGCGCCACAGCATTGGCTCTATTCTTTTTAAGCTATCGACTGACTCATATACAAAGGTTCTTCAAAATTTTATGGAAAATGGAACTAAAAGATAGCTTTATGTTGGTGTAAAAAAATCTTGAAGTCCATGCATTCTCCATGAATGTTTTGAGGACCTCCGGTATGCATGGATTTCAACATTTTTCTGCATTGAAATAAACTTATCTTTTAATTCCATTTTCCACAACTTTCTTGAAGTACCCTCGTGTGTTTGCAATGGCTTGACGTTGTGGGGCACAGTTCCTGATCTTGGGGATATGAATTAGAAGCAGGGCTATTGAAGTTGGACCCTTTGATGTTTCTGGCACAGAGGAAAACACTGTGAGACAGAGGGCATCTGGGAAAGCAGACACTCAAACATTTGTAAGCCGAAAGAATAAAGCATTGTGTGAGCTTCAGCAGAGGAGGCACGAGCCCAGGTGGTTCCCTCAGGGACGAGGTTCACGACAGGCTGGAAGAGAGGGCGGAAAAGCTCCTGGGAGTTAGAGCCCTGGATTCCAGACCAGCCCCTGCATGTGCCCGGGAAGGCATCGGACAGCATCCTCTGGACCTCCACTGCCCACCTGTGCAGGGAGGGGCTCAGTGGTGAGCTTTGTTCTCACGGTGCTCTTCGGCCAGCTCCTTGGTGGTCACAAGACTGACCAGATCTCATCGACTTTAATAAACATCCCATCACCCAGGGCAGGTGCGGAAGGAGCTGTTCTCCAGAAAATTCTGTGACCCATTGAGTGCTCTTCCCTGTGCCTTAGAGAACAATTTACAAAGAGTTAGAACCAAATACAAGAGACTTCGAAAACCATAAACCATTTTCTTTTGATTCATAAAGTGGATCAGGGCCCACAAGCTGCTCTGATCTTTTTGTGAATGAAGGCTCAGTAGCAAGAACTTCTTCTTAGTCAAGACTTTCCTTCCCACAAATTCAGGCACTTAGATCTTTTTCTTTTTTTGAAAATTGTTTTCTTTTTTTTTTTTTTAGTTTAGGAAGCTAACATTTTAAACATTTGCCACATTTGCATCAATTATAGACATCATATACATATCCATATATACTATTTTGTCTCAAAAAGAAAGATGTCAATATCACAAAGTGAGCGATTCGTGACAATGATCATAACATGGGAAAACAGGGTATATTGTCACTTATTTATGTATATTTGAAGGACAAAGAGAGCCTGAGAAACAGACATACAAGACATAGACCTGCCACTTACTGGTTCATTCCCCAAATGCCCACCTTGGCCTGACTAGCCAAACTTAGGATCCAGGAACTCAATCCAAGTCTCCCATGTGGGTGGCAGGGGTCCCAGTACCTGAACCATCATCTGCTGCCTCCCTGAGTGTGCATCAGCAAGAAGCTGGGGTCAACAGCAGAGCCAAAAGGAACCCAGCACTTTGATAGGGAGCTGGGTGTACAAAGGGTGTCTTAATTGCTGGGTGAAATGCCTGCACCCAGAATTCAGATTTTGAAGGCATCTCCATTATTATCCTTGACCATGTTTCCAAGTTGGCAGAGCTGGTCATGGAGGAAACCTAACTCTTCCACTCCTCAGGGCCCTGTGCACCTCGCTGCCTCTCACAGCCTTCACAGCCCAGCCATGTGCCATGCTGTGGGGTGGCCTGGCACTGCTCTGGGTGCTGAGGGTGGAGCAGCAGGCAAGCAGCCCAGCACCCTGCTGTTGGTGAGAAAGACAGAAAATACAGGAAGAAGTCATTCCAGGTGTCCACGGTGCTCTGAAAAAAGCAAACCATAGCCATGGGGTCAAAAGTGGGCCCCAGCGATGGGCAATTCAACCTGGAGGGGAGCGACTGCTCTGAGATGCTGCTCTTCAGCTGTATTCATTGGCAGAGCCAAAGACCAATCTGGAAATCCCTTAAGAAAACATACTATTACCCAATACAGGCGGGAAATGCATCGTCCTTGTCCGTAGAGTGACGTGGGTTCTCCAGATCCATGAGTCAAGGTCTGAATGATGAGAAGGAATGAGCCACGTAGATATCTTGGGAAGAGTCTTGTAGGCAGAGAGAACAGCAGGTGCAGCCGCCCAGAGGTGAGAACAATAGGGAGCCAGGCCTGGGGTGAATGGAATTTGGAAGCAAGAACTGTAGTGGGATATGGAAGGTCATAATGGTTAGTGGAGGCCAGAACTGCAGAGACCAGTTGGAAGGCACTGGAAGATATCAGGCAAGACAGTCATAGGATCCAACATAGTTTGTTTTTTTTTTTTTTTAAGATTTTTTTTCATTTGAAAGAGTAACAGAGAGAGAGGTAGAGCCAGAGAGAGAGAGAGGTCTTCCATCATGCTGGTTCACTCCCAAAATTACTGGAACGGCCAGAGCTGAGCTGATCCAAAGCCAGGAGCCAGGATCTTCTTCTGGGTCTCCCACAAGGGTGTAGGGGCCTAAGGACTTGAGCCATCTTCCACTGCTTTCCCAGGCCATAGCAGAGAGAGCTGGATCAGAAGAGGAGCAGTCGGGACTTGAACTGGCGCCAATAGGGATGCTGGTGCTGCAGGCTGGGGCTTTAACATACTGTGCTACAGCACCAGCCCCCAACATAGTTTTAAAATGTGCACTGGCCATTGTGTGGTGAATGTGCAGAGGGCAACATGGGATAGGGGGATCAGCTCGGAGGGCAGGTGAGGACAATGTGGCAGGACCTAGGAGACAGAAGAGGAAGATAAATGCAAGGATTGAGAGTACTGTAAAAATCATGGCAACAGGACCTGCTTATGGGATGTGAAGGACAAGGAATTCAGCAGCTACCAAGATCAGGGCACAACAGGTGTCTTAGCAGGGAACAGTAAGTGTAGTTTCAGATACGTTAGGCTTGGGTTGCCTGTTAGACGTAAATGGTTGGAAACAGTCTCTAACTTAGTCTAACATTTGCCCCTGGTTGTCTGAGTTAAATGAGGTTTCCTGCAGCATGCTCTAGAAACTCAAGTTCTTGCCCGAGATCCCTGGACAAGCCATTGGTTGTTCTTCCGTGGCGACAACGATGTCAGTCCTCATTCTGAGATGTTCCCCCGATCTGTGTTGTCCCCTTGCTTTTCCCATCCTTTTTAGACAATCACAGGCACCAACGGTGGGAAATGGGACCCAGTGAGTCCTAGTCCTGGACGAGGACCTTCAGGGACCCTTGGCTGGTCAGCATTGAGGCTTCTTCTAGCAGCCATCTGTCTGCCAGAGAGAGGAGGAGATCTGGAGCCCCTGGGAACCTGGTGAAACTGAAGGAGGGCCTGAGAGAAGAGAGCAGATGAGCTAATTTCCCCAGGGACGGGAATCTGGAGGAAGGGAGGGTTTTACCTCGACTTGGTGGAAGATGCAGGTTGCAATGATGAAGAGACATGTTCCCCCCCCCCCCCAGATATGTGAGTAGGAGAAGGTCCGAACTTGGGGGAAGGGTATATATATCAAGGGCTATCACTTCTCGGCATTTTGGCTAAGATCAAGTGTCGTATCAAGGGCTAAGAGGCCAAACCACAGCAGGGGTTGTGTGGATCTGAATGCCCAAGACTCCGCGTATGGTTTTCCCTTGGGATCTCTGTGCAGCTGACACTTCTAGGATCACTTTGCAGCTGGAATTTGGTCCCTCCTGACTAGCAGGTGATTTATAAAAGGGTACAGAGCTTGGGAACTACAGTCGGAGGTCCTGGATGTGAGGCCTGACTCTGCCATCCACTGTCTATGAATTTGGACTTCTGACTTAAATCCTCTGTGTCTCAGCCACTTCTTTGGGGGCAGTGGCAGCTGTTACTCTGTAAAGTTATTGCTGAGATAAAAAGGCGTTAGCATGTGCGAAAACCTCTAAGAAGTTTCCAGAACACATTACTCCTATGAGAATAGTGTTTCCTATTGTCATTTCTTGTCCCTCCAGCTCCTTGTGAGACAAAAGGGGCCGAATGGAGCATGTGACTCCGTCACGTTGTCTTGTCATCTGGGTAGGTGTGTTCTGGAGCTCTCCCCCCCACCTCCCCCGGTGGAGGAAGGGGAGGGAGACCACATTAGTCACGTAGTGTAAAACACACTCCCTGACTCTGCCTCCTAAAAGCACTGCTGCGTAGTTCACCCTGCCTGCAACGCGGGCAGATGGTGCGATCCCTTGAAGCACCACTGTGAGGTTTCTGGAAGCTTTCTAGATGGCATCGCATTAGAAAAATGGGCTCAGCAGAATCCTGCGGTAGAAAAATCCACACCTGACCTTTACCACGATCCCCTTCAGCTTGTGCCGTTTCTCTCCCGACGAAGCCAACTTTAAAAAGTTATTTTAAAATGTAATAGGATGAATTATCAATCCATTAAAGGAAACAAACCCATTCTAATTAACAACCGTTCATGAGAAAATTGCTCACTGCTGCAGGGCTAGATAAATGCTGGAGAAACTGTGCCAGCAACATGTTCCAGTTCAATTATTTTGTCCTCACTCAGCCAACTAATTGATGTCTGATCATTTCGCCTGGTGGGGGTTGATGGAAAGGGAGTGGTTTCTCCCCAGGCTGGACCAGCATCGTGAGCGATTTCTGGACTGTGGCTCAAGGAACAAAGGAAGTGACAGGGGGTACTCCCCGGGCCAGTGTGTCCCTGGGCCAAACCCCATGAGGAAAAGGAGACGAAGCAGGCCATCTATGTGAGATGAGAACTGGGATTGTCCCTGGTCACCTGTCAGTCTTGCCGCTGGCGGTTTGGACCCCAAGGCGGCCTCTTTGACTTAGTAAAACTCTCTGCTTTTAGATGCAGAGGCAACCATGTGTTTGGCAAAGAGAAACCAGGTGTTGATTTTTCTCCTTCTGTTAGCGAAATAGCCGTGATCGTCACAATGAACTCTGCTAAAAAAAACGAACTCCAGGTGATTGGTTGAGCACTTCATCTCATTCTCTTTCATGACCTTGATAGTTAAATGGTTACTTAATGAAGGAGCTTTAAGTGCTGTTGCTTCATATTCAAGAAGCACAGATATCCATCTCCATGGTGAAGCCGAGAGAGGAGACGGTCTGAACAGCCAAGTAGGGAGTCACAGACCAGGGACACAGGATCTCGGCACTAGCCAGGACAGAGGTGGGTTCTGCAGCTCATTGTCTTCATAGTACAAATCCCAGCCGCTCCCATCTGCTTCCCTTCAAAATTGTTGTTTGTGTAACTTTAAAAATATCACAGGACTTTCTGTTTTGTAGAAAAGCCTTCATGGAAACAGAAATCACATGTTGAGACTGAGAAGCATCAAAGAAACACCTTGCCATACTGGACATCTCCATGGATCTCTGCTGGACAGCCAGCAGTCGCTGGGTTCTGAGTAGCTACAACTAGACTCTTGCCACATCAGTTGTTGATATTCATCAAGGGGACCCATGCTGTTAGGGGACAAAACACACCTGTAGGGGTTTTAGAGTTGGGAGGAACTTTGGATGAAGCTCTGGTCCAAATGTAGAAGTTGAGAACCTTGACCTGAGTGACGTGGTTCGTTGGGGCAGATCTACTAACCAGGTTGTCTGGACTCCTATTTCAGCTCTTTCTACCCCATTGAAATGTCTCTCAGGGAACACACTTGAGTTGCTTGAGCTGGAAGACTCAACAGTAGTATTCAACCTGCCCTGTACATGAGATGGGTATCTCCCACCTCAGAGCCCCCCTCACTCTAGGTTCCAGTACGGAATTGCTGACCCAAGAGGGAGGGTGAGGTACAGGTGGTGATTTTGACAAATCCAAAGAACAAACTGGAAGCAGCTCTAGAGCATCCTAATGGCCACGGGACTTCCAAGAAATCTAGCTGGCTTGTGACTGATAGCCTTTAACAGCCTTCAGACCAACAGGAACTGAGTGACAAAGAGGAGAGCTTGGTAGGAAATGCTGTTTCATCAGGGGGAAGTTCACAGAAAGGTGAACTCTGGTTATGTGTGTTTAATATAGCAAACACCCACTGAGTATTTCTAGGATGAATTGTATCTTTTCCCTTAACGATCAGAAGAAGAGCTGGTACAATTGGAGAATAGTTGTGTTTATAAAACAAGTCACTTGCCTTCCAGTTCCATGTCAGGTGCTCCGGTGGACCCAGAATGAAAATAGAGAGTATGGGCCGGTGCCACGGCTCACTAGGCTAATCCTCAGCCTGCAGCGCTGGCACCCCGGGTTCTAGTCCCGGTCGGGGCGCCGGATTCTGTCCCGGTTGCTCCTCTTCCAGGCCAGCTCTCTGCTATGGCCAGGGAGTGCAGTGGAGGATGGCCCAAGTGCTTGGGCCCTGCACCCACATGGGAGACCAGGATAAGTACCTGGCTCCTGCCATCGGATCAGCGCGGTGCGCCGGCCACAGCGGCCATTGGAGGGTGAACCAACGGAAAAGGAAGACCTTTCTCTCTGTCTCTCTCACTGTCCACTCTGCCTGTCCAAAAAAAAAAAAAAAAAGAAAAGAAAAAAAAGAAACTAGAGAGTAGTCAGGCACCTGATCTCAGGAGACGGCAGACAGGTTCACTTCCCTTCTTGTTTTCAATGGCGAGTCATGGGGGAGAAGGAGCTCGTCATCTTCTAAGAATTTCCAGCAATTTCTAGAAAAGTATTCTGACAGACACACAGGAAATAGTTGTTGAGAAACGAACTAATGAATCAGTGGAAGAATGACTTGTAGCACGTCAATTATTTGATCTCTGAGGAATTTTGTTGGGTTTGGTTTTTTTTGTTTGTTTTTTTTGTTGTTGTTGTTTTTTTTTTTTTTTTTTTTTTTTTCCAGTTAACTGAGCCTTCTCCTATTGATATGAAGTCATCTGTTTTAACCATGCTACGTAGACAGGTCACTCATGTTCCTCTTGTCTTAAGTACATTGTGCTAAATATAATTCTGCCTTTTCTGAGAAGTAGCATTGCTTGTTATACCACTGTGACTCTGAGGCTTTGAAATTTGAACTAATGGCTTTCCCAGATAGTAACTGCATTTTTTTTTAAGTCTGTGCTTCTATCTCATTTCTTACCTTACCTGTTATCGTGTGAGCCGGACATGAGCTGGGAATCTGGAAGCAGTGGTGAACAAAAGAGATGTGGTTTCCTTCCTTACAATGCTTCCAATCTAACCTGAATTCAAAAACACCAAGCAGAAAGTGGGATCAGCACAGCAGTTAGGTTGTTGCTTGGGAGCCTGCACCCCATGTTGGCATGTCTGGTTCAAGTCCCAGCTACTCCACTTCGGATCCAGCCTCTCAGTTAATGCACACTTTGAGAGGCAGCAGTGATGGCTCCAGTACCTGAGTCCTATCACGCATCTGGAAGACCCAGATTGAGTTCTGGGCTCCTGGCTCTGGCTTGGCCCAGTCCTGGCGATTGCAGACATCTGGGGGAGTGAACCATCAGATGGGAGATCTCTCTCTCTTTCCCTTTTAAATAAAGTAAAAATAAACAATTTTTAAAAGACCACCAAGCAATTAGTTACAATTCGAGGTCAGGTCTCAGAAGAACACTGAGGCTGGTGCTGTGGCATAGCAGCATCCCACACGGGTGCTGGGTCCATCCTTGGCTGCTCCACTTCCGATCCAGCTCCCTGCTCATGTGCCTGGGAAAGCAGTGGAAGATGGACCAAGTCCTTGGGCCCCTGTACTCACATGGGAGACCCGGTAGAAGCTCCTGTCTCCTGGCTTCTCGCCTAGCTCCAGTCGTTGTAGCCATTTGAGGAGTGAACCAGTGGATAGAGGATCTCTCTCTCTCTCTCTCTTTCTCTCTCTGCCTTTCAAATAAAATAAATATCTTTAAAAAGAAGAAGAAGGAGAAGGGAAGAAGAGAAGAAAATTAAGAGACTACTATCTGGGGAGGTTTGGCCCTCCCGTAGCAGGCAGCGGGGAAGGCCTTGCCGAGGGGAGGAGTGACACTTAAGCCACTTCCCAAAGGAAGAGAAAGAGCCAGCATGGGACAGGACCGTGCTCCTCTGAACAGCTCTTCCCACCGCTCCCCTCTTCACTTGGCTGCTAATGTCACTCACCATCATGCAGAAGGGCTACACATGGCCAGCAAGTGGCAGAAACACACATTTGCTACAAACTTAATCTCACGTCTGCAAGAAAACAGAGGTGCTGCTCTTAAGGGTATTGCAACCTCTGCTTAAGAGGAAAATATATGATTTTTAGGAGAGCTATTTCATTCATAAGAAATTTACCTTTATTAGGGGCCAGCTGTCAAAAGCATTAGACAGCAGTGGGACCCGAGAAGGGACCCCACATACCTGAGTTTGGGGATTTCTGTTAACCACCACGGGAGCACTGAGAAGGGCAGGTTGCTGGAGGAACTTGGATGATCTAACCCTTAAAGGATGAATCAGCGTTTAGATGGGAGAAATTAAGGAATACGGGCAGACAGAGGCATGGTGGTGTGGAAGTTCATGCCCACTGGAAACACCGAGCGGTCCGGGAAGACTGGGAAAAGTGAGCGGAGGAGAGACAGTGACGAGATTCCAAAGTGTCTTGGCTATTTGGTTGAATTGTCTGCATTTGTTCTGTAGACCACGGGATACCATGAAAGCATTCTGAATAGTGCTATCATCCGATCTGTGTTTTAGAGAGACTTTCTTTTCCATGTATTTGGCTGTTCGTCGAGGCTGAGAAGCTTAATGGCTGATGATTAGGGAGTTTTCTGTTTCCTCACAGGCAACCGTTTTCTTCGAAGACTGACACCCTGTGCACGGACTGGAGCATCTCGTGAATCCTTGAGAGCATCAAAGATGCTTCAGATATCCGTGTATGACCTCCATCACTGAACTGAAATATGGGGGAAGAAAATACCTCTTCTTAAAACACAGATCAGGTGCTGCTGATGGCACCAAGGGTAGGCCAGGAGAGTTGAAGCCTCCGTCATTTGTCATGTCACAGAGGAGAGCCGGGCAACCCGCTGACTCCACCGTGTTGAGTCACCACTGAAATGACATCGCAAGGGTTTGCCATCAGCACCTCGGGGCCCCGGCTCTCAGCACCCGGGGGTCCCGGCTCTCAGAACCCGGGGGTCACAGCTCTCAGCACCCCAGAGTCGCAGCTCTCAGCATGCTTCTGAGAAGCTAACCACAGCCCATCTCTTCTACCTTAACCAAAAGGTAAACATCCATTTCTTCCAGGATCCCCAAGCCTGTTCCCACTTTGCAGTATCAATAGTTGAATGTGACACTTGTCTAAACACATAGCACTTGCTTGAGGTCCAGAATGGAGATGATGGTTCGTGGTTTCTCTGTGCTTCCAACCTGGAAGACAGCGGGAAATGCAGCAAAAAGAAGCCCTGACTGTATATGACAGTCCTGCTGGGACGTGCCACACTCTCCTCTTGGGTAACGTCACTGTCAGTTCTCCACCCAACGGCCAGTTCTTTCCTGACTCTGCGTTCTGCGAGTCCACACTTTGTCCAGATGTCTGCCTCTTCCTGATCTGACTCGGAGCGGACCCCAGCTAGTCTAATCTAATCATGCAAGGCCAGTGCTGCTTGTCAGCCACCAGGTTAGGGATGATCCGGTTCTGGTCGGTGAGGCGTGCGGGGCAGCCTGCCAGTGGGTTCCTGGAAGTGTCACCTTGATTTTGAAGTTCAGTCATATCAGCATTTGTTCCTCCTCTTCCACGGGATGTTGTTGCATCAGGACGCGGTGCCTGGGACGGGGTGGCCACCTGGCAGCCCCGGAGGCACCGTGCTGAAGCAGTGCCAAGCTCTGGAAATTGACACCCAGGGCTCTATGACCCTGTGAAGTCATTGACTTAACCAAAACCACAGAGGTTCTAAACCAGGGCCTCTTATATGTGACATGATTTTTATTTTACTCTTTTTTTCTTTTAAAAGTTCATTTATTTGAAAGGCACAGTGACAGAAAGAAGAAGAGACAAAGAGGGAGATCTTCCATATGCTGGTTCACTCCCCAAATGCCCACAAGCCTGGGATAAGCCAGGCTGGACCCAGGGGCCCAGAACTCCATCCAGGTCTCCCACGTGGGTAGCAGGGGCCCAAGCACTCGGGCCATCCCCTGCTGCTTTCCCAGGCAAATTAGCAGGGAGCTGGATCAGTGGAAATAGAGCAACGGGAACTTGAACCAGCACTCTGGTAAGAGATGATAGCATTGCCTTGTGGCAGCTTAACCTTTGTGCCACAGAGCCGGCCCCTGATTTTTTCCCACTATTTAAGCTTTATGATTTAATGTTTCCTTTTTCCTGCAGCAGAAACACCTTAACGAGTACCAGTGACCGTTTTCATCAAGCAGATGGTGAACGCAGAGCCCTGGCCTTGTATAACTCTAGGCTACAACATAATCAGTGTCCGGGAGTTGGTACAGAGCAGTTTCCAGAAAGCAGGCAGTGAGCAAACAGCTTGCTCCAGGTCACAGCGTGCAGCTGCGAGGAAGCCAGGAGAAGTCGAGCCAAAAGAATGGCTTCTTCCCAGAAGGCCAGCTGGAGCGGGACGCCAGGCACCTCCGGCCACTTCCCTCCGCATCTCTAAGCCTCGGCTTATCCCAACCGTAAAATATGTGCATTGTGAGAATACAAAAATAACGCACTGCAAGCCATCTAGCAAAATGCTGGCCGGCCCCTACGAGATGGGCATTTAGTGTAGGATAGCTTCTATTTGAACCTGCTCAGCCATTCACTCGCTGTTCTTCCTTCGGATCCTTGACAGCAGCAAAGTGCCTGTGGCCCGTTTACCGCCTACTGCTGGAGACGCCACACATTCCTAGGGCAGAAGGGAGGCATTGTGCTCCACGGCGGAGACTCAGTCTGAGGCTCTCATTCGCTGATTGTCCACCCAGCTCCAGCTCCTGCGTGTGAAAGCCCTCTGCGGTCAGGAGAGATTGAGACCATGCCTGAAAAGCCATCTTCTTGCGCCAGAGTGCCACCTGCGAACCTAGGGGGAGACCGGGTTGCTAGGAGTCATTGTGATCGCGTGCTGTGCCACTTCCGCACACTCCTCCCGATTTTTTTTTTTTTCATGACTACTTGTTAGCTTCCAGTGTGAGAGAAGGAGAATACAAAACCCTGGGATGCTGTTGCTTAGAATGATAATTGCTCATTAGAACCCCATTTTGTTCTAATTGTACGATTCATTACGCTGAACTCTTCATTAGAAGCATTGTAAAAATTCTGACAACTCGAATGTGTTAGGCTGGATATCGAAATGAATCTGATTGAGAGCTTTACTCTTTGTTAAGGGCGTTTTCTAATTAATATACATGTGAGAAGCCAGGAAGTGAGAGTCGCCATATTCTATTCCGGAGGTTATTGTTGAAGATGTGTTTCTTTTAACAAATGCAACATGATTTTGAAACAAGAAGCTGTCTTTAGAACAGAAAGAAAAATTGGCCCATAAACCTGAACCATTCACAATGAGGACACATCTGTCTGCATGAATACAAGTGGTTCAGAATTATCTGCAATTAATAGGAAACCAAATATCTTCCTAGTTCTGTTGGGGGCTTTGGGTACAAATGGCAGATTGAACATTCACACTCATCTCCCTTTCTTCTTGGAAGTCTACTAAAATGACAGTTACGGGAACTGAGCCAGGCAGTAAACCCACAAGGGCAAAGACAATGAAGGAGACAAGAGTAAGAACATTCTGGAAGTTGAAAGTGGGTCACGGGTACTAGCATTGCAGACCCCAGAGGGCGGAACTCTGAGCAGGTACACTGGGAAGTGAGAACAAACTAACTGCTCTTCAGAGGGCCCCACACACTCAAGAACTGGGGGGCTAGGACTGGAGGTAAAAGTGGGGCTGCAGAAAGACGAGCCAGGGTCTGCTCAGGCAGTGCTTGGGACCCTGGATGTCACCCTCACCCTGCCCAGCCGAGGCACTGCTCCTGGTCTGCACTGGCACAAGCTGGGAGGTTTCCATCTCCAAGTACAACGATGCGCAGGGTTCTCTGGACTAGAAAGCTTTGTAGATAGTTGATGGCAGGAGACCTGCTAACGCACACCCTGAGAGGCGGGGGGGGGGGTGTCAAGTGGACATGTACGTGTTTAACGAGGAGACCCTCCCTCCAAGCCCTCTTGGACCACCCAGGCAGCCAGGCCTAGACCCTGTGTACGAGATTGGGAGATTCTTGTTTCAGGAATCGGCCCAGCCCACGTGAGAGTACCTGAATATACTGGTGCCCGGGACTCCTCAAGATGAAACAGGCAGTTAGAGCAAGGCTTTCAAATGTGTGGCATCAGCACCAGCGGAGAACTTGCTAAAAATGCAAATTCTTGGGGCAGGTGTTTGACCTAATGGTTAAAGACACCTGCATGCCCTATCCAACTGCCAGCTCCATCCCAGCTCCATCCCTGGTTCCAGTTTCCTGCTATTGCACAGCCCGAGAGGCAGCAGGTGATGGCTGGAGGAGCTGGGTTCCTGCCCCCCACAAGGGAGACGCGGATTGTGTGCCTGACTCCCAGCTTCTTTGCCCAGCTCTGGCTGGTGCAGGTATTTGGGGAGTGACCCCACAGATAGCTACCTGTCTTCTCTGTCTGTCTCTTCACTCTGCCTTTCAAATAAATAAATGAAAGGTTTTTAGTGCAAATTCTTGCACCCAGCTCCAGACCGGCTGGATCTGAAATGCTGGATGGGGGTGGGGCCCGGAGACCCGGGTTTAACAAATCAACCGCCAAGGGCGTGCTGCGGTTTGAGAACCAGTGCTCTCTGGCAAAGTTTCCTTTCCTCGTCAACGTGAGCCCACAGTCCAGGGTGAGGAGCTACCGGAAGAAAGGTGAAGAACAAAATAGGGCTAAAGGAATGAAAACCTTGGAGGAAAAGGGACTACGCAGGGAAGAATTACTCAGGAAAAAGCAAATGGTATCTTTAGGGAGCTAAGAAAGATAGTTCACCCATGAAACCAAAGAAAGGTGCTATTTTTTAAAAAAGAAATCCTTTAGAAAACAACAAAATAAACTTTACAGAAACTTTAAATCTTTTAAAAAATTCTTCATAGAAGTGTAGAATCTAATAACAACAGCAAACAACTAAAATATAAGACAAAAAACATAGAAAATAGGAAGGAAAGAATGGGAAAATCCAGATTGGTTTAGGAGCATGTGAACCGCTGGTGTAGGAGACTGAACACACAAATAAGAAGAGGTCTGGACAAGGGAGCAGGACACACTCAATGCAACCACTGAGAAATGTCCCCAGGAGTCAAGAACGTGTATTCTCAAATTGCAAAGTCCTCCCCGACTCCCAGTACCAGGCAATGGGCGGAAATAGGTTCACATCACTGTCCATTGCAGGATGTGGGAATAAAGAGAAGACATCGCAGGTTCCAGAAAGAGAAACACACATGTCCTGAGGATCAGGAACCAGAATGGCTGCTGACCTTCCGGGAGGGAGAGGACATGCGGGTTGACAAGGGAGCCAGGTGTCAGGAGCCTAAGCAAAAGGATTGCCCAAGTAGATTCTGTGCCCTGACACACAACTCTCAAATGTGGGCAGAGATGACACGTCATCAGCTGTGAACGGAGAATAAAGACGTTTAAAGCACACGGAGGGTCAAAGGTCTTAGACTGAGACAGGGTGGAACCTACTGTTGTAGTAACAGCTGACTCACAGGGCAGAGACGGGCATCAGCCACAGACAGTGACCACTGCCATCAGCATCCACTCTCATCTCTCTGCCATCCGTGCTCCACCTATAACCAAAGAGTTCTTCATAAAACAGACGTGCAGTCAGCTGCAGCCCTGTTTAACATCATTTGGTGCCTCTCCACTGTCTTCAGGGTAAGTTAAGGCTTAGAATGGCACACAAGGCCTTTCCCACTTGTCCTGGAGCCTCTTAGCCTGCTGGTCTCTCCCAGGCAAGCTTCATGCCACCCTGGCACATGTTCATAGCTCATAGTGCAACTTGGCTTCAGCAGGTTATGCTGTCACACACATGCCTGGGCTCTTCCCCAATGCCCCACCCAACCAATGTCACAATAAGTAATTGTTACATGAGCTATTGTCCTTCTCATTCCTGGTGTTGCCTCCCTCTGTCTGATTCAGACGCTGGCCCTCAGTGCTCCCAGGACATCCATGCCTCTCCCATGACAAGTGTCACAGCACAGCAGTGGTGAGTTTTTTGTTTTCTCTACCAACACGCACTATTCTTGGGGGTAATGGAATGTCTTATTGGTACGGTATCATCAGTATCCGCCAAGGCCTACTCTTGCCCTGGGAAATAGCAGGTGCACAGAATAAGCTGAGATGACTTTCTTGAATCAATAATGACAGAGTCTGTTTCCAACAGGGGCAGTTGATAACAATTTCCTTGTCATCATCATAATTTAACTCATTGGTGCCCTGTGTTTGAGGACAAATGGGGTAATAACCCCGGGTACGTGGCAGGTTACTGTGGGGAGCAACTCGGACTAGACTGTTACTGGAATTAAGACTTATTCTATGCATCTGCTCTCCCACAATATGGCGCTGAGAAGGGAGTAACAACTTCTACGCAGCTGCCTCTCGCCAACTTGAGTGATGACCTGCAGGAGCTGATCCTGCTCCTGATTGGAGGAGAGTAGCGTACTCGGCGTGTGGGTAGCAGAGTTGGGATTGGTGGAAGAGGACTATAAAGGAGGAGAGAGACAACATGCACCAGGAACATCTAAGAGGAACACCTGTGCAGCCCCCGAGAGAGCCGGCCGGCGGTGTGCCGCTCCCCCGCGGAAGTGGGGAAAGTGGCAGGGGGAACCGCCCTTCCACGGAGGTGGAAGGGTCGGTAGCCAACCCGGGAAGAACCAGCAGCAAACCTGGGGAGGGCCGAGCAGACAAAAGAACAGCGCAGGGTCCTGTGTAGTTCCTCCGCGAAGAGGGGGAGCGACAGGTTACCTCAAAACAGTGTCTAACGTCCTATGCCACAGATGGTAGCAGGGTGCTGAGACAGGTAGAGGCAGGTCTGTGACACTTCTTTCAGCAATTTGCACTAGCCCTGGCAAGCAGGTCTCCAACCTGAAAAAGGGTATTGTGGGTACAATAAATGTAACACATCCGTCATGAGTAGTCACGTACCGTTGGACAAAGTTTTCCAAAATGTCTACACGCTGTCAGATTTGGTCAATGCCACTCTTGATGTCCACGACTACTTTTTGTCCAGAGTATATCACTCCCTGATTTCTGTTGGCATGCTATAGTATCAAGGAACAGAAAAACAAGTAATGGGGGGCAGTCCCCCAAAACCTCACTTCTCTTCCCTTTACTGAATGAACACATTCCTATTAAATTCAAATTAGTCACCACTGGGACTTGGAGCCGTGGGCATGCTTATATCAGGCACACACCGGGGTGTTCTCTGGGGAAGGTTGCACGCATCGTCCATCCCTGTAGGGTCTTCCAGCCCTTCCAGTTGTCACCAGCCATTCCTTCAGTGTCTGGTCTTGTTTACAAGGAGCTTCTAAGTCCTCTAGCAGATTTCTGGAAACTAAAGCAATCGACTTATGTGTGCACGTGTTTCTTCGACAGAGGGTGAGTCTCCATCCTGTAGAAGGCTTGCACACAGGCTGTGGTCACCGGGATCCCTCCCCTGGGAGCAGGCTGTAGTCACATCACAGGCCTTCCTCCTGCTTCTCTGCTTCTTGCTTGTTCTGTCTCGGACTGTGCCACTCCTGACTCACTGTCCCCGTGACCACATGCGAGAGCCAGCCACGAATAGAGTCAATCCAGAAACCACTCCCTCCTCCCACACAGGGAGGGAGTGAGGCAAGACACAGCAGAGCCAGCCAGCCATAAAAGAGCGGACAATGGAATCTGCAAAATATATTCGCAGCAGCCTGCAAGCCTCACCTCCAACTCTAAATCCATGTTCCTGAGCTTCCTGACTAGTCTCCCAGAGGTTTTTATTTGTGTTTATATATAGATCCATATATATATGTGTATCTATATGGATCTATATATTATATATAGATACATATATGTATATATGTATGTAGATATATGTATCTATGTATGCAGATATTTATGTATATATGTATGTATACATATACATATATATACACATATGTAGATAGATAGATATACCTGGGTCTCCTACATGGGTGGCAGGGATCGAAGCACTTGGGCCATCATCTGCTGTTTTCCCAGGTGCGTTAGCAGGGAGCAAGATCAGAAGTGGAACAGCCTGGACTCGAACTGGAGTTCATATGGGAAGTCGGAGTCACAGGCAACGGCTTAACCCACTGTGCTGCAACACCAGCCTGGTTTAGAGAACTACAAAAAAAAAAAAAAAAGTACCAGGAACCTACTGGAAGCACAGGACATCAAGAACAAAAGCACTGGGACCGGCGCCGTGGCTCACTAGGTTAATCCTCCGCCTTGCGGCACCGGCACCCCATATGGGCGCCGGGTTCTAGTCCCGGTTGCCCCTCTTCCAGGCCAGCTCTCTGCTGTGGCCCGGGAGTGCAGTGGAGGATGGCCCAAGTGCTTGGGCCCTGCACCCGCATGGGAGACCAGGAGGAAGCACCTGGCTCCTGGCTTCGGATCGGCGCAGCGCCCTGGCGGTAGCAGCCATTTGGGGCGTGAACCAATGGAAGGCAGACCTTTCTCTCTGTCTCTCTCTCACTGTCTAACTCTGCCTGTCCAAAAAAAAAAAAAAAAGCACTATCACTTTCCTCACGAAATCTTCCCCACACTGTGTTACCGCGAGAACCTTCCTTCTCCACCCTGCTTAGCAAGCTACAGCTCTGCTTGGGGTATCTGTGGTTAGCTTGGCTTCTGCCCTGAATTTCTGGCCAGGAGACCGAATCAAGGCTCCAGGTGGGAATTGTTCTCTCCGCTGAAGATTTCTCTTCCCTTCTGACAGTGAGCAGAGTTTTGTTCTCAGCAAGGCCTCGGCTTGGCTCGGCTCCAGAATGTCTGCGTGGAAGTGCTTTGGGGCCAGCCCCTGGGGATCTTGTCTCAGAGCTGTATTGGAAAAGCAAGCACCCTCTTGAACACTTAGACTTTATATCACTTTAAATGAAAACTGTCAAGATGATTCGATTTGCCCAAAACTGAAGGTTAAAACAAATTATTTTCCCTAACCAGTGTTTTTTTTTTTTTTTTTAATCTCTTTTATTTGGGGTAGTTTGAAGGACTGGAAGCTTGGGGCTCCGTGTCCCACCTCCTTTGAATTCTGGGATGATGTTGGGAGCAGAGACATTCTGGGGAAGGGCAACCCTTCACGTTCCTAGGAACAAAGCCCCTTGGGGCTGACCTGTTCCAAGTCCCTCTCAGTGAGCCTGCCCAGTAGACACTGAGCCCCTGTGGGGCAGGCTTTGCTGCAGTAGTCAAGATCCCTCTTGGGGTGCTAATAGCCCATATTGGGATACCTGGGTTCAAACCCTAGTTCAGCTCTGGATTCCAACTTCCTGCTGATACACTCCCCGGGAGGCAGCAGGTGATGGCAACCAGCAAGTGGGAAGGCTCTCTGTCTCTCTACCTCTCAAATATACTCAAATATACTACTACCACTACTACTACTAATAGTAATAATAATAACTGCTCCTATAAGCTGCCCACTGGGCTCCGTTAGCCATCTTGCTGAATCTTTGTCAAAGAACCACTCTAGAGAGAATGTACACAGGAATCAGGCATCTGAAATCCTCAGCCAATGATAGGTCATTCACGGAACTAACTGGAAACTCTCTAAGAGGTTCTTCCTGGGAGAAAACATTGCAGATTTATTCCCTCTGATCTTAGGTAACTAGAAAACAAGGCAAAAATCCCTAAATACCTTCCTTTATATTCTCCCTCTCTCCCACACTGGTGTGAGGACACACCTGAAAATCAAGTTCAATCCCAGCAAGAACCCTACGTACCTCATAGCTTGAATTAGAAGAAAACAAATAGGTGATTTAAAAAAATTTTTAAAGACAAGTTGAAATGTAATGTGAAGCTTTGATTTTCCATGTTTTGCAGAAGTGTGTCTCTAACTTTGACCTGGGGGGAGTGATGATAATGGTGACAGGCCTTGGTAGCAGAGAGCTTGTTGCGGCTGAGCCTGTTGTAACATGATCTCAAGCAATCCTGCTAGGCAGGGGCATTTGTTACTCTTTTGCAGATAAGAAAGTGGGGGCTTAGGGATGATAACTACTTCACTGGAGAGGGAGTGGTGGTGGTGGCAGAGGGCAGCTGACCAGGAGGGAGACTACTCCAGTGGCTTGAAAAGGGTTAATTGTCTTCTTAGCCTCATGCAGTCACAGCTAACAAGAGTTTTCCAATGTCTGCTCCCTCACAGGGAGCTACAGAGCAGAGCTGGTCCATGGGAACTTTGAGCCAGAGACTACCAGGACTCCTTTGAACTTTGTGGGGTGGCTCAATCCATCCTTCTCCTCCTCAAACCCTTCTAAGACAAGGACTTGGCCTCGAATTCTCTTGTGTTTCCCAAAGCGACCACATAGCAGATGCAGCTCTTCTAGCCCTGCCACCCACATGCATTCACCCTCAGTTCCTTCCTTGTAAGATTGGTTCCAACAGATATGGCGGGGGAACCCTGACCTGGAGATGATCTGCCAACGTCCCCACCAACTCTGAGCCCTGTTATTCTACTGTTACTGTTGTCCAGAAGACAAAGGTGGGCACCAGAGGCTTTAAGATAATTGGCAATGTCACCCAGGACTCCTAGTGCTTTCCTGCCATCCCTCCTGGACGTTGCTAGTTGGGGTCACATGTCCACCACATTGAGGACAAACTGGAAGGCAATGACCTTGAGCTGGCCTCGTTTGCATGGTTGGCTGAGAACGCCCCTTTCCTTTGGCCACTGCCCCCTCCAGCCCAGCCCAGCTCAGCGGGAGAGCAGACATCACGGGCAAAGTGGGAGCTTGGAAACCAAACCCAGCAGGGTTCCACTCAGCTCTGCCTGTGACACACAGTATCACCCTGCCTTCTTAGTTTGCTCAAACACAAAATGGAAGCAGCGCCGTCCTCATCGCTGGGATGCCGTGGGAAGGAGGTGACCCACGTTCGGCGCCAGCACACACAGAACGGCGAGCTCACTGCCAGCCCAGCATCTGTGCAGTTGTTAGCAGTAGCGTTGCTAACCAGGTTACATTGTTCTGGCTGTGGAAAGGCCCACAGAGCTTCATGCGGGGTCAGGGGGCCACTCTCACGGATGTGGGACCTCATTGTCAGTGGTGACTACCCCTGATGGCAATATCCCAGCTAGAAGTACTTAAGTCTATTCCTGCTATCTTAATAATCCTATTTGATTGTCTCAATTGAATTTATTATCAATTTGAGTTGCTGGCTATAAGAGACTTCTGACGGGACAAACTAACCCAAGATGGGCTGGTCTTTTCCGTGGTGTTGAGGGCTCATTACTATGGGAAGGGTGACTTAAAGACAGGGTAGAGGCCTACCTGCTGTGACACTGCCAAGCAGTAGGAAGGGCTGGTGATGGTTTGCACAGGTGACTTTACATTTCTGGAAGTTCCACATGGGCGCAGACCCTGGCATTCTGAATGTGTTTCACAGGTCTCTAAGCAGCCCTGGTAATTTATCATTTTTGCTTCACTTTGACCTTACAGCCTGCAGAGCAAGTAATCGAGGCTCTATAAATAAACATCAGAAAGAAGCCCCTTAATTTATTCCCGTTCAGGTTTCCCTGCTTGAAACTCACTGCTTGCAGAGAATTTTTTTGTGCAGCTCCCAGGGAAAGGATTCTCTCTCCCCTGATCTTTGAGGAGGAGAGAAGATGTTCCCCAAACTCGCTCCTGCAAGACCAAGATCAAGGCAGGGAGGCCACGGGGCGACTGGTAGAGCGGAGCCAGCGTTCGCAGAGCTACGGTGCCAAACCTACAAAATCAATACCATTGCCATGCGGGGAGGCCAGACGGCTGCCAGCCCTGTGCATTTACTAAATTCATGCCAACTCCAGACCTCAGAGAACCATACTCATAGAGGCTGCGTTTGGATGCCTTGAGTATTGACATAGCCTTGTAAGCTGAGACCCTTCCAAGGAGGGAGAAGAAAAAAGGAGTTTAGAGGAACTGTTTACATAGAGGCTTCCCTTGGGTCCCCGCTGCCCGGCTGAATTAGCATCAAACCCTGGCCCTGGGAGAGAGCTGATTTTCCTGCCCTCCCAGGGTGACCGCCGTCAATATGGATGCAGCCTGGTTTTCATCTGCAAGAAATTTATGTTTGGTTCCACCCTCCTCTCCACTTGATTCTATCATTCTGAGGTCCTTGTATTCACCAGAATGCCTCCACTGTTCGTTCTGCTGCTGACTCGGCTATAAAATTTCTCTCCCTCAATCTTTCTTCCATCCCAAGCGACGCCCTCATTTTTGAGTTCCAACTGCTATCAATAAGGCATTTGGAACGGAACGCTCTGTGAACTGATGCCCACCAAGAAGCAAATGGCTGACAGATCCTTGGAGCAGCCCTAACACGTGCTGCAAATTCAAGTACCCCAGTTTTGCAGTTTCAAGGTGAACCTCTTGATTGGCAGTATCTCATCCACTAAGACCACAAAGACGCAAAAGATGATGTTGCCTTGTGAGTGCTACCTCCCTTCCTTGTGCTCTAAGCCCTTCCTGCAAGGGAAGGAAATGTTGCATCCTGAGAGGCAGAGGATACTGCTAGTCCTCAAGCACAGAGAGATCCAGAAAAGGGGCAGACATTACTGGCCCAGCAGGTCAGGCCGCTGCCTGCAGTGCCGGCATTCCATAGGGGCACCAGTTCATGTCTCAGCTGCTCCACTTCCAATCCAGCTTCCTGCTGATGGCCTGGGAAAGGCAGTGGAGGATGGCCCAGGTAATTGGGCCCCTGCCACACGTATGGGAGACCCAGATGAAGTTCTTAGGTTCTGGGCTTCAGCCTGGTCCAGCCCTGGTTGTTGTGGACACCTGGGGAATGAACCGGCAGTTGGAAGCTTGTTCTCTCTCTCTTTCTCTCTCTAACTCTGACTTTCAAATGAATAACTGAATCTTTTTTAAAAAATGAGAACTGGGGAGGTCCTAGGAGGATATACAAGAAAGGGGCACTGACATGCACACAGGATGCTTCCATTCCCGCTGCCCTTCCTAGGACCCCCAGGGAACCCCTTCAAGGACTCAGGGATGGGCTTCCCATCCCTGCTCCTTCTCCATCTGTCTCTCCTCCCTGTTCTCAGTGCTCAGTTAGGAGCCTCTTCTGTTCCTTTGTGAGCATGAGGGGGAGGAGTGCGCCTTGGTGACAGAGTTCTGACTTTGAAGAGTAAATGTAAAAATGTATCAAAGGCTTACTACGTGCAGCTACCGTTCTCAGTGCTGCTAGTTCATCATTCGCCAAGTGTCCACTGAGTGCTCGCCACGTGCCAGTCCCTCTGCATGCTATTCATTCTGGCCTGCATCCAACGCTTGGCCTCTTACACGTCATGTGTCGTCATCAATGCTTTTCCTTCATTCATTTAGCAAGAACTCATTGAGTGCTTCCTGTGATTTCAATGCCTCTTATCCATCCATCCCTGCAACAAGTCTTTCTTGAGATCCTGCCGTGTGCCAGGCATGGACCTGGGCTCAGGAGATTCAGCAGTGAGCCTACCAGAGCCTCTGCCTTTCTGGAGATGACCCACCGTTGGGAGTCACCAGGCAATGCACAAACAAACAGGAAAACACACAGGGTATCAGATGGTATTAAATTGCATGGAAGGACGGCAAGCAGTTGAAGGGAACAGATGGTGCGGTGGTAGACGCAGCTATATTTATACCTCGCTGGTGATGACATCTGAGTCAAGATGTCAGGATCTGAGGGGTGGAGGCTAGAAAGCCAGGACAAAAGCAGTGAGAGGAAGGAGTAAGACTAAGACCCTGAGGTGTGTGGCCCGCCTGGGAAAAGCAAGTGCAGAAAGAGGGAGAGTTAGGAGCAAGAGGGATGGGGGTGAGTGGGCCATGATGCTGCTGAGAAAGACCCTGTGAGTCTTGTAGGGCCCATTCCTGGTCAGATGGTGAACATACTAGAGAATCGTAAGCACAGGCAGGACAGGATGTAAAAGCTTCTATTATTGTCCGGCGCCGTGGCTCACTAGGTTAATCCTCCACCTTGTGGCAGCGGCACACCGGGTTCTAGTCCCGGTCGGGACGCCGGATTCTGTCTCAGTTGCCCCTCTTCCAGGCCAGCTCTCTGCTGTGGCCAGGGAGTGCAGTGGAGGATGGCTCAAGTGCTTGGACCCTGCACCCCATGGGAGACCAGGAGAAGCACCTGGCTCCTGGCTTCGGATCAGCGCGGTGCACCAGCCGCGGCGTGCCAGCTGTGGCGGCCATTGGAGGGTGAACCAACGGCAAAGGAAGACCTTTCTCTCTGTCTCTCTCTCTCACTGTCCACTCTGCCTGTAAAAAAACAAAACAAAACAAAACAAAAAACAAAAAA